GGAATTCTGGGAGTTGAAGTCCACGAGTCATAAAAGAGCCAAGGTTGCCTACCCTGGTGTAGCCATTATGGAAACCCTGATGTGGCTGATCTGGCATGGAAGCCAGCCTGGTATAATGGATAAGGTGGTGGAGTAGGAACCACAGTTTCCAGTTTTCTCTTAGGCACAGAGTCCCCTGGATTAATCTGAGCCAGTCGCTCTCTTCCCACCCTACACATCCTGGAAGAAGCTAATAACAAACCACTTTGCAATTTTAATAAGAAAATTGCATGGACTTGTCCATGAAGGCTGCAGAAAATAAAAGGATGGTTTCTCTTACCCCAGTTTTAGCCCAGGCAACAAAACATTTATTTATCAGGAAAAGGACTAGATAAAACTATTTCCAAATAGTGGGGTGTGTTTCACACTCCAGAGAATCCTTGGGGCCTCTCTCTCAATTAACAACTGCCTGAAGGAGACAAGTCCTGCTTGTCTTGACATGTTTGCTTCCAGATGTGCTGATCTTTGTAGCCCATTGGCTTTGGGCTAGGTCCTGCCTTCACACCCATTTTCTGCTACTGCCTGTTCCAGTCCAGCTAGATTCTTGCCACACAAGCTTCTAGTCCTCATTGCTACATTTAGGAACAATAAGCTAATATTTCCGGGTTGGATTCCATCTGACCAGTTCCAGAATACAGGCAGTCCTCGACTTGGCACAGAAAAATGTCACAGAAAAAAGTGACTTACGAGCATTTTTCACACGACCGTTGCAGTAGTGATCAAAATTCAGATGCTTGGCAGCTGACTCACATTTATGACGGTTGAAGTGTCCCAAGGTCATGTGATCCCCTTTTGCAACCTTCTGACAAGTGAAGTCAATGGAAAAGCCAGATTCATTTAACAACCGTGATACTAATTTAACAACTGCAGTGATCCACTTACTAACCGTGGTAAGAAAGGTCGTAAAATGGAGTAAAACTCACTTAATAAATGTCTCACTTAGCAACAAAAATTTTGGGCTCAATTGTGGTCATAAGTCGAGGATTACTTGTACTTACTAGCTGAGCATCCTTGCAGTTGGCGTTCTGACACATCTGGAAAACACTCTTTTTGGAGAAGGATCTACAGGTGTTCTTGGCTGGAATTCTGCTCTTGAATAACAAGACAATGTGGCAGAAACATTTCTGAAGATAATGATCAAAAGAATACAATAGTTAATTGTCTTAATAGCCAACTCTGTTCCAAAGAGATCCAGTTTTTCCTTCCTTAGGCCAACTTTCTGACCAGGTTCCCGTATCACAATAAGTCAAGAGAGCAATAATGGGAGAATTGGGGACTGCAGCACATGCTTACCTTAGGGATACTGTGGTGTTACTGGAAAACTCATTTACTTATTTAAATCAAATTTATGTGCTGTCCATCTCACGAAAAGTAACTAAGCAAAACAGTAAACAAATTAAATTTTTAGATTTAAAATTTAAATTAAAAAAAAAACAACAGATTTCAGCCATTCTAAAAATCTCTAAAAAGCTATAGACATTTAGAGCTTATCTTCTTTTGGAGTTAAGTAACATCTGTTTCAATGGTTAAAAGAGCCAGGCCTATAGTATATTTCTCTGCCTGGGTTTACATGTTAAGCACATGGGGTTAGGAAACTACACATGACATTCATGCATGCAAGGAGTTAGTCATTGGCCTGTGTTCTCTCTGACCTTTTAGCTTTACAGCCCACACAAACATGCAAAAAATCATCACGTTTCACTTGTTGAGATGGGCAGCTACAGAAATCAATCAAACAAATAAATAAAATTGTGCCTTTTTGATTATAGCCAGCCATGAATGTTTCTGCACAGGTATGTATGGATCCTGAACCCACCCCCACTATCACTTACAGGCCATGCTTCAAATTCTGGGAAATGAAGTTTCTTCACATCTCACTAGGGAAGGTTTTGTTTCCTGCACATGATGTCTGATGCAAGGCAAACCAAATTCTGGTTTTTGCTCCTGCTGCCAATTTTGGACCTTTTATATAGCTTGTTAGTGGACAGCGGGGAATGTAGATCAATGGAGTCAGTCTAGGCTGAAAAAAGCCAAAACTACTGGGAAATCCATCATTGAGTTGTTGCCATAGAAATGTCTAGCTTCATCATTCCCACCGCCTCCCCCTCCCCATTTCTCCATCTTTTCAGCGGAGATTTCCCAATAGTAAGTATACGTAAGAAAGCTGTTATTGGTGACGTCTGGCTGGTGCTATCTTGCAACAGGATAAAAGGGACCCTTTTGTGCAAGCTGGTGTGTGTGTGTGTGTGTGTGTGTGTGTGTGTGTGTTATCTGCGTATCAAGATGAACCAGAGAGAAAGAAAACCTGAGTCTCTTGAAGAGGGGCTGGTTTATAGGTCTGATACGACATTTAGCAAGAACTGACTAGCACTGCAAGAAGAATGCACTAAATAAAAGAATAAAGAGCACTTTATTTTTCTTGATGGTGCAAGAAGCAGGCACTGACGAGGTAAAGCATTGGTACGTATAATGGGTTATTAAATTATTCTGGCTTTTATATGTATTTTTTTTTTTTAGAACATCTTTGTCTTTTTATTTTTGGAATGGCAGATCAATGGACTTCCAACTGCGATACGTAGACTTCTAGGGCTGCAGTTGTAAATCAAGCCCAGCTTGAGGTGATAAATACTTCACCTCTCAAATTTTTGCCTGTGTGGCAGCTAAATGCACAGGCACAATACTTTTGGCAGAGGAGAGGATTGGCAGCCCTATGAAGAAGGAGCTAAACTTAACCAAGGCACGGTTTGGGGATATGAAAGAGGAAAGGCAGACTGTGTAATCCATGGGTGTCCAACCTTTTGGCTTGCCTGGGCCACTTTCATTGAAGAGGAATTGTCCTGGGCTGCATATAAAATATATAATATAGCTAATGTATCTAAATAACAAACTTCCTTTATTTTTTTTATATTTTTTCATTATAACATTGTGGGGAGCCGTATAACTAGCTGTCCAGGGCCGCCAGTTGGACATGTCTGATATAATCTAAATTGTTTTCCACCAAGCTTTATATCTTTCCTGCTTCCTTACCTCAGGCCTTACTTATTGTTACTCCTGCACTGAAATGTTTCTGCTCCTATGTAATCAAAGTGTTTATAGATCCTTTCCAGCAAAGTAAGAAACTGATATTTCCCATCGGAGTCCAGCCTGTCAAAATATGCCCTAATACTCAGATTGCCATGGGGTCATGGGTGGCCCCCAGAACTCCTTCTGAACATGCATTAAAAAAATAAGCATGAATAGAAATGTATTTTTACTGATGTGCTTGCATAAGTTTGTCTGAACAATTTATCAGTAGATTTGCATCGTTCATTCAGAATTTAATGTTGTACTGTTTAATATTGAAGGGTTTCCTATCATGCTAAAAATATAGATTCTGGCTTGTTCAGTATCAGTTTCCCATTGTGGCTAGGTAGGTATCCAGCCATGTGTCTTCAAATTTTCTTGCCTGCAATATCCATCATCCTGAGCCAGGACGAATATTCTTGTCACTAGCTGGACATAATTGTATAGGAAGTCGTTGACTTACAACCATTTGTTTAGTGACTGTTTGAAATTATAACGGCGCTGAAAAAAGTGACTTATAAGTTATAAACACTTGTAAGTGTTTATGACCATTGCAGCTCAGACGCTTGGCAACTGACTCATATTTATGACGGTTGCAGTGTCCCAGGGTCATGTGATCACCTTTTGCGACCTGACAGGCAAAGTCAGTGGGAAAGCCACTTAACAGCCATGTTACTAACCAAACGGCTGCAATAATTCACTTAACAACTGTAGCAAAAAAGGTCCTAAAATGGGGCAAATCTCATTTAACAATTCACTTAGCAACAGAAATTTTGGGCTCACTTGTGGCTGTAAGTCGAGGACTACCAGTAGCCTAACCTAATGAGAGGGTGGGAAAAGATTTTTCATTGGGAAAAAAATCTTTCCCTGTTATTTTCTCTGACACTTGGTCTTCTGAAACATCTTCTGAACATGAAAGCTCTGGTGGCTTTGTAAGGTAGAGTCGCAATTGATAGCCCTAAGATAAGCCCTGCTGGATCAGAAGAGGGTGGTGCTCCTAATCCAGCATCCCATTCCAACCTCTTCATGTGAGGGAAACTGCACCTGGAGGAGCAATGGGGGGAGTTTTGGCAACCCAGAGCTTCCCCAGAGACAAGCCAGCATTCAGAGCCTGAGCAGTCCTAAGCTGGATGGGGGAAAGAGAAAGAGGTTCAGGGTAGTCACATCTTAGAATCTCTCGGGATATATCTAGTACAGTGATGGCGAACCTTTTAGAGACCGAGTGGCCAAACTGCAACCCCAAACCCACTTATTTATTGCAAAGTGCCAGGGCCGCATCAGCATTGTGGTGCTCTCAGGGGGAGCAGGGGGGCATGGCCCACTGGGTGGGCATGGCCGCTGGGTGGGCATAGCTGCAGTGGTCACAGTTGCGGTGGTCACGGCAGACTAAGTGGGCATGGCTGGGGTGGGTGGGCTGGGACCAGGGTAGTAGGGACCAGTCCCTCGCTATCTCCGGGGCATCCCCAGGGGGCCAATGCCACTCACTCACTCACTTCCTGCCCTGTCACTTCCAAATGCCACATGCTCGCTACTCTGGTGAACTTTGCTGGGGCGACGGCGTGCATGCCCACAGAGAGGGCTCTGAGTGCCGCCTCTGGCACGCGTGCCATAGGTTCGCCACCACTGATCCAGTAGGTTAGAAAGTTATAGTTTTAGTTTGGCAAGATTCTGTTCACTAGATGTAAGCAAATAAAAGACTGAACTTGATTGGATTTTGCTGTGTCTTCTCCGGGCTTGGTCCTGACATTTCTACGATTCAGAGGAGAGGAAAGGCAGGTGTCTCACAGGAGAGAAAAGAGAGGGCATCCAAGTCTCCTTTCAATGCATCTCAGCTTAATTAAAAGATGCCGGTTCCAAAAGCACTCCATGATTCACCATCTGTACTTCTCTCTTTACAGACAAGCTGTTTGGGAAACGTCTGCTGCAGGCTGGGCGTTACATCATGTCCAATAAATCGTGGATGAAAACGGTCCCCACAGAAAACTGTGATGTGCTGATGACTCTGGCAGGTGTGTGGGGTCAGGGAGGTGGTTGCCGTTGATTCTCTCCAAATGTAATTAGAATTGTGATTTTAATTTTCCTCTCTCTCTCTGCGGCTTCTCTCAAAGAACTTCTGCAGTTTGACATTCTGAACCAGTCTAGTTTTGATTGCTGAAATAGAGTTGCTGAAGGTAATCTTGTAGATTGTGGTGGCTTCCAGGTGCTGGGCCTTCTATTCTCAGGATTCACAGTAACCAAATTAGAGTTGGATTCAGATGATCACGTTTAGGGCTATGTAGACCCATTGTTAGAGCTGTGTTGATCTATTACTTCTATAATTTTTTCCACCGGCTGCTATGGGTTTTATGGGTTTTTTTGTATTTTTTTCACATGTTTAGTCATCCAGAATCACGCATTTCAGATCAATCTCATAAATAAGTGCACCAAAGTGCTTGCTTTGGGCTTAATAGGTTGGATGGGCTCATCCAATTTCAAGACATTGATAAACCCATACTTTAAAAATTCATAACTTTGTGAATTTTTGCACGTAATGTTTGTGCAATATAGCTGGTTGAATATTATCCTACTCCTGAGGAAATGATTTATGGCAATCCTTGTTTGTTGTTTCCTCCAAAGTTTATAGCTTTATTTTTAAAGGACAACGTGGTTACAAATATCTACCTGAGAGTAGATATCCATTATATGGGAGGAGTGCATAAGCCAAAATACTAATCTAGGGGAATTTTATTCAATATATCCAACCAGGATCTGTTTTGAATAAAAGTAATAAGGTGGACAAGTGAGACATCAAAACTAAATGATTCAGCAAAAACAAAAGAAATAAAAATAAATAAATATCTACCCTTGGATTAACTCCTGATGACAGCCTCCATATATAGTTGTTCTTGTGAAGAACAATGGAACTAGCAAACTTCAAACTGGTGAGATTGCTCTGTCTCTAAAGCAACATTTCCCAGTGTGAGAACCGGCAATGGTGGTCCAGATTAACCTAGCTGCAAGTGCCCAAAATGACTAAAACCTCAGGAAATTGCCAAATTTCACAAGATGTTGTGTTCTTTGGAAAATGTTGCAAGATGTCAGGTTGGAACAGCAACATTTTTGGAGACTTCACACATGACAGCTATTGTTTAAACTTATTATTAAAATAATTTTCACGCTATATAAGAAAAATATCCCATGTGTCACAGTGCTGAAAGGCATCGTGTAACTAGACCCTGGCTTGCATTTCTGTTACAATGGAATGATCCACATGCTGACTGAGAATTCTTCCAGTAGAATTTAAGACCAGCTAACAGTTTCAGTTAGGAAGACAGATCAAATTAAAGAAAATATGCTAAGCCCAGAAATGTTTTGGTCAACTCTAGAATAGAGTTTATACACTTTCATATACCTTTACTTTAACTTGTTCCCCCCTCCCACCAATAATTATTTTTCTACATATTTCCAAATACAAGTGTAGCAACCTTCCTTATATGGGGAATCTTTGACTTGAGACTCCAATTGAGCCCACAATTATGGTCGTAAGTTGTGCTAATTGTTAAGGAGGTCACCATATTATCATGCCCAAATATATGTGTTTTTTTCTAATGTTCATTAAGCAAATTGTCCACAATGGGCGTTTTTGTCAGAAATCCGAAGTAAACTCCAGTTTCTAACAAAAAAATGTAAATCTGGTGAAGTGACAGCAGGACATCACAAACAGCCGTACACATCTGGGCCAGTTGCTGAGCCCCAAAATGCAATCATGTAACTGGGGGAGGGGCATCCATGATAACTTTGAATTTGGTTCATAAGTAGCCTGGGGAAGTTTGTTGTAACTTTGAACTCTTGCTAAGCAACCCGTTGTAAGTTGAGGACTACCTGTACTAGTGCTTCTAGGTGTGTCAGACTACAATTTCCATTGCCTTTGGTCAGCATGGCTAGAAACTGATGGGAGTTATAGTTCAACATATGTGAGTCGTTCCCACTGCTTCTATAGGCCCAACATACCTTTACTCAGAAATAAGCCACTTGGAATTCTATGGGGTATATTTTGAAGTAAGCAGACCAACTTAATTATTTGTGTTTGTAAATTGCAGCTTAATTAATTTCCCTATCCTATCTAAAACTGCATTTCTCAAACATCCAATTTATATTTTTTCCCATCCATAACTGTGTTGTTCAGTTCCAAGGATACAGCTGGGAAAATAAAAGCCTAACCACAGTTATCTCAGCTCTGTAAATTCATGCCTAAGGGAGGACTAGAACTCCCAGCCTCCTGGTTTCTAGGTCAACACCTTAACCACTATTCCAAACTAATTCTCAGTTTAGGTGATGAATAGAACTAAACCAGTGTGGTTTAGAAACCAGTTTAGGGATTACCAATATATGTGAACCAGACGCTTATGATTAATTCAAGGAAGCATGGATAAAACAGACCATGACCTAACGTGATAGGTGAGCTCAGCCAGGGTGTGAGAAGTTGTTTTTTTGCCTCTTTGTGTTAGCAGAAGGAAGAACGTGTGCTTGAAAGGAGATACCAACCCAGGACAGATGCCAAATCGTAATGGAATATGGAGGTGCAGGAAAGGTGGGGGAAGGAACACTTCTGCACTTAAGCTTTCAGATTCCTTTTGAAGCACTGCCAGTGGGGAGGCATTTACAAGCAGATATCACTTGGGAGAAAGGAGCTTGCATCACCCCAAGTCATTCAAAAACATAGCTAAAAACTAATGACTAATTGCATTGTGCAGCTCTTCAGCCACTATTGCAAAGGATGATCTGTTACGACATTTAAGGATATTCTGTAGGAGTAATGATTCACCCACAAGTCCAGAGGAGCCCCAAAGTTCTCATAACTGATAAATTAATGTCAGGCCCCAAACCAAGAAAGACACGTGCTGATTCTTCCAAGCAATTTGGAATCAGATAATAATAATAATAATAATAATAATAATAATAATAATAATAATAATAATAATAATAATAATAATAATAATAATGATGATGATGATGATGATGATGATGATGATGATGATGATGATGATGATAAAAAAAGTTGGATGGGACCTTGGAGGTCATCGAGTCCAACCTCCTGCTCAGGCAGGAAACCCTATACCATTTCGGACAAATGGCTGTCCAGTCTCTTCTTAAAAACTTCCAGTGTTGGAGCATTCACCGCTTCTGGAGGCAGGTTGTTCCACTGGTTAATTGTTCTAACTGTCAGGAAGTTTCTCCTTAGTTCTAGGTTGCTTCTCTCCTTGCTTAGTTTCCATTCGTTGCTTCTTGTCCTGCCTTCAGGCGCTTTGGAGAATAGCTTGACTCCCTCTTCTTTGTGGCAGCCCCTGAGATATTGGAACACTGCTATCATGTCCCCCCTCATCCTTCTCTTCATTAAACTAGAAATACCCAATTCCAGCAACCGTTCCTTATATGTTTTAGCTCCAGTCCCCTAATCATCTTTGTTGCTCTTCTCTGTACTCTTTGTAGAGTCTCAGCATCTTTTTTACATCATGGTGACCAGAACTGGATGCAGTATTCCAAGTGTGGCCTTACCAAGGCATTGTAAAGTAGTATTAATACTTCACATGATCTTGATAGATAGGGAGACAATTACGTCGGGTCGTGACTCAACCGAAAAAACCGTCGACGTCGTGTGACGACCGAGTATAAATTCACTAACAGGTGATCCTGAGGCTCTAGGGAGAGTGTCAATGATGATAACTCGTTCCATGGGGGATATGATATGGACATGTAAACCAAAAAGAACGGATTTACATCTTGGAATCTTTTTTCACAATTGAATTTCATTTTGGTTAGATAGCGCCCAGTGTTCAAGTCTGTCCAGGTCCTCCTGTATCCTAAGCCTGTCTTCTGGAGTGTTGGCTATTCCTGCCAGCTTGGTGTCATCCGCAAATTTGATGATTTCCCCATCTATCCCCTCATCCAAATCATTGATGAAGATGTTGAAGAGCACTGGGCCCAGAACAGAGCCCTGGGGCACCCCACTACACACTTCCCTCCATGTAGATGTGGTTCCATTGAGGATCACACGCTGAGTACGGCCGGTCAGCCAGCTATGAATCCATCTGGTGGTGATGCTGTCTAGCCTACTTTTTTCTATCTTATCGAGTAGTAAGTTGTGATCTACTTTATTAAATGCCTTACTGAAGTCCAAGTAAATTATATCCACAGCATTCCTCTGATCCACTAATTTTGTCACTTGGTCAAAGAATGCAATAAGGTTTGTCTGGCATGATCTGTTTTTGACAAACCCATGTTGGCTTTTAGTAGTGATTTTGTTTGCCTCTAGGTGTTCGCTGATTTGTTGTTTGATTATCTTTTCCAGAATCTTCCCAGGTATTGAGGTCAGGCTGATAGGTCTGTAATTTCCTGGATCCATTTTTTTCCCTTTTTTGAAGATGGGAACTACATCAGCTCTTTTCCAGTCCTCTGGTAGTTCCACAGTGCTCCAAGATCTTTGAAAAATATAGTTCAGTGGTTCTGAGATCACATCTGCCAGTTCCTTGAGAACCTTGGGGTGTAATCCATCTGGTCCTGGTGATTTGAACTTGTCTAGGCTGGACAGGTGCTCACTTATCATTTTCTTGCCTATCTTAACTTGTGTTTTTTATGGCACTATTTTTAATAGGTTGGTCTGTTTTTTCCCTTTGTGTAAAGACAGATGCAAAAAACGAGTTAAATAGTTTTGCTTTTTCCCTATTGCTTGTCACCTTCTTGCCACTTTCGCCCAGTAATGGACGAATCGTTTCCTTCACTTTTTTCTTATTTTTTACATTTTGAAAGAAGCTTTTTTTTGTTATTTTTGACTTTGGTTGCAAGCCTTTGTTCATTTTGAGCCTTAGCTTTCCTTACTTTGTCTTTGCAAGTTCGGGCTATTTGCTGATATTCTGACTTAGTTATGTGTCCCTCTTTCCACTTTCTATACTTGTCTTGATCTCATTGGTTGGCTACACATGAGGTACTCAGAATCTGAATTGAGCTGGAAGGGACCTTGGAAGTCTTCTTG